ATCATAAAACTAATTTTTAGGACATATAATGTCCAAACAATACTTTTTTAAAAAAATCTAAAATATTTTAAAACATTGAAATATTTAAAAGAAAATAACAAAATATAAAAGTTCATGATTTTTTTTCTAGTTTTATTAGTTTTTTGTTAATTAAATAAAATGGTACTAAGGTCATTTTACCTCTCAAAAATCAGCTTTAAGGTATGTTGATACCCGACTTTGTACCATGCTTATTCAAGGGTCCAAGCCCAACCATGGTATCAGACGACATTATTGGGCTCACATCGTGGACCCAAGCCATGCTCAGAGAACTCTCGTGAGTTGTGGTTTGGTGGGCCCCATGTGTGATCAATTAGGCATGTTTGTCTTTTAATTTGATCCAATTTGAATCCCGCTTGGGGAATTTTCAGAGTTAATCGGATTAATACAAATGAGTGGTGGAGAATTCTCAAAAAGCTTTCCTTTCGTCCTTTTGGAAGCCCAAAACCCCGAAATCCAAGCTTTAGAACATCTTCTTCCTCGTCAAGGTTGATTATCAGTGTTTTGATCTAATGGAGGCTCTACCTGCACCAGACATGCCTAAAGGAGGCTCTCTCCGTAGCAGGCATGTCTCCTGGAGCATCCTCCTTATGTCCAAGTATGCCTAACAGAGAATTTTCCGTGTCAGGCATCCTTCTTTTGAACTTCCTCTCGCCAACTAACCATCGGAGCAATCTTCGCTTGGAGCACACTAACCCTTTGGAGCAACTTCGCCTGGAGCAGCCTTCATCTAGAGCACGCTCACCTTCAGAGCAGCTTCTTCGGAGCAACTTTCATGTCAGAGCCAACTTAACGGCTGCTTAGCCAATATCGTATAAACCATCTCTAACAAGGTCTGACATCTGATCAGACATCCAAAAATAGGAAGCCAACGGAGCACAAAGTTGGGTCAAACACTCTTGAGAATTTCAGACCTTAGAACTCTTCACGTCAGCTTCAAATCTGAAACTTTGCCTCCGAGTCTTTTCATTTTCAGATATTTTCTTTGTCAATCAGGAAAGTCATGTGATCACTTTGCTCCAAAGGGAATTGCGTGTGCAGGTCTCTGTTAGAGCGCCGCCAACTAGGCTTCGGAGTAGCCACCATGAACTTTTCATTCCATTTTCGGGCCAGCTCTTTTTCAACCCCGGAAAGACTTCTGATAACTTTGCTCCATTTGGATCAAGTATGCATACTTCCTTCAGAACGCCACCGATTCACCCCTAAAGCAAGTTCCCTAAAGTCTTTATTCCATTTTCAGCTAATCTCCTCTTCAACTCTAGAAAGGTGTCAGAAAGCTTTGCTCCATTGGGATTGTTTGTGCAGCGTACGTCAAAGCACGCCACATGAAACTCTGGAGTTACCGTCAAAATCCTACCGACTTCACACATAAAAACTCACAATCTCCTTCATTTTAAGGGGGTGAATCCACCATTAGCATCAACCACCACTTTCATCCTTAGATTACATTTCTTACTTCATTCAGACTTCTCTAGTCTCTTGCTACAGAGACTTGAGGTTCATTAAGCTCTTCAAAGTCCTTCAAAGCCTCCAAGTGTTTACAGCCTTGAAAACCTTTCCAAAACACTTTTTAATCTACTTTCCCCACCGTCTTAAGACTCTTTGAAGCTTCTTCATACATTTTCTGGTAACGTCCAAGTCTTCATTTTCGGGGTCATTTCCGCTCACCCTCGAAGCAAGTGCTCCGAGCGAGGTTCTCACTCCCAGAGCAACACGCGCTGCTCTTTGAGTTCTTTTCACCAGGGCCTTATCCACCTCACCAACTTCACTCTCACTCTCCTCCAAGCCTTATCCACCACTTAGGTCACCATCTTCGCTCCTGGAGCAGCCCGCGCTTGTCTCTAAAGCACTGCTCTGTCAAGGCACATTCGGCCTCCTTTTCTCCATCTTCATCAATTACTTGGTCGCACTTCTCAACATCTTCATATCTGGAGTTCTTTTTTTTTTTTGCAGATTCTTTAACATATTTTACAGGGTATTTTTGTCATTTCGGCAATAAAGAGTATCCTAGGACATGCATCCTTCAGCCTAATTTGGGTCTAATTGAGCCCACTTCTTCATCAGAGGTTCTGCCATCATCCTCCACACCAAAGCTCAGCCATGTCAGATCTGCTTATGACAAACCGTGTGCTTACACGTGTTAACCCCCGATGCGTCGACCCCTAGAATCTACTGGACCCCAACATTAAGGCGACTTCACTAGGGAAGTTAAGCTGCCGACTATGGCTCTATGAAACAAGAGAATTCACACCGACGGCACTTCGCACAACATGGAAGACTTTGATTCACAACGTAACACTCTCAACACTGCCAACCAAGAAGATCGCGAGCAACCCACAATCCCAGACATTGTGGATGCGCTCTGAATCCTTAGGGAATCTCATAACAAAATCCTCTTTGGAGTGAACTCGCTCTGAGAGTGCCTCGAAAGGACCCTGCTACGGGTCTCGCCAAAGATGTCACTCCGTAAAAAGCCTCTACTGCTGGAGCACCCAAGCCTTCAGAGCAAGCCTCCGACGCGCCGCTCACTCGCGGCGACGTTCTCGCCATCTTAGAGCAGCATACGCACGGCGTCACTCCAGAGGATGCTAGGTACTTGCCTCAACCTCCTTATCCTCCAGAGCTCTACCAAAAGCTGTATCCTCTGGGATATGAGACTCCCTCCTTCGTGTTCTTCCACGACCGCAAAGGGAACCTGAAAAAGCACATTAGCTGCTTCCTCGATGCTCTCATGGACAGAGCATACATATGGTACACTACCTTAGCTCCTGGCTCCGTTAGAACTTGGGAGGACATGGTTACTCATTTTTGCAGGAAATACTGCCAAAATAAAGAGAAAGTCACCATCATCCAACTTAGCAACACTCATTACAAGCACAGGGAAGATCTTTTGGACTTCGTCCAGAGATTCTGTGACTTTGCTCTTGATTGCTACAATGAAAATAATGAAGGAGCTCTCGTTGAAATTTGCATCAACAACAGAGTTGGAATGAGAAGAAACCACATGCTCTGCAATCTTTTGTTGCCTCTGAAAGCCCCTTTAGACTTCCTCCGTCAAGGAGAGGTTCTGCACTTGCTCCGTCCCAATAAACCCTTCTGCCTCTGCTGTCGTGCTCCGACGAGGAGCCGCATGCTGTTTTGGAGCAACTGCTCCATAACAAAGTCATTTTGCCATACGTTCCCGAGCTCATAACTGACCTTGAATCTACTAGACCCCAACAAGGTACTAAGAATATGTTTTTAGAAACTTCGACATATCGTTTTAATATTATAAAAAATACAAGGTATTAAGAGCATGTTTTACTATAATACATGGTATCAAAATGCTTTTATCACTTCTTAAAATGATAGTGTATGTTCCTAAATGTTAAACATTATCAAAATTACATTAAAATTGTAAAAGTACGTAAAACTAATAAGATCAAGGGTTTTCCACGCCCTAAAAATTTAACAATTTTTCCTTTGAAAAAATAAAAATTTTAAATGTTTTATATCTTTTTTTAATAGTTTTACATCTTATTACAAATTTTAAAACACACACATAAAAGAAAAGAAGATTCTCTAAGCGTATCGGTAGGTCTTATTATAAATTTTAAAACATACATAAAAAAGGAAATTTTTTTTACGCTTAATGTACCGATATGTTAAATTTTTTTAACGACAAAATTTACATATTTTTTAATTTGTACATAATTTTATATAAATTTAACACAAAAAATCTAACATGATATATTTAAAAAAATAAAAATAAAAATAAAAATGTGAAGGCGCTTTTGCACCTTCCTAACTATCCCATCCTCATGTACGGACCCTGAATTGGTCCCCACATCACGTGGTCCCTCCCTTTTCTCATTATCTTGCCCTCCCGTTTTCCCCACAATTACGGAGACTTTCACAAATTGCAACTTGCATTCTTGCAAGTGCCTCGTCTTTTTTATTTTTTGTTCACATTCTAATCTCCTTAATTCACATTCATACGTATCCAAAAACTCTCTTTGCCTGTCTAAAAGAACAACGAGCGAAAACACGCGCAACCTCGTAGTTCTGTCTCTTAAAAGCTAAACGGTGATAACTGAGGTCGTTTCTGTGTCAGTTTTTTTTTTTTTTTCTTTTTTCTTTTGGAAAATTGAAAATCCATCCTTGTTATCTCTTTTCCCAAATTCCAAAGAACAGGAAAAACAAAATTACATCCTTCTCTCTCTCTTTCTTATCTCTGTCTTTAAATGATTTTCTTAAAAGGCGAGATATTTCCTCAGAGGACTCTCTACTACTCTTCATTCACCTGGCTTTCCCACTTGCTAGTGTTGAAAAAGGATTTTTTTTTTTTAAATAAAAAAAATCTGGTTTAAAAAAGAAGAGGTGTTAAGTTTAGAGTTCCAAACGACAACGTTTTGGGATATGAAAATGATGCGCTGTCCCACACTAGGGCAACGGAGCAAATTTCTGATTGGAAAGCTCAGCTTCCCAAACGCGGGACTCCAAAACGGCATTTTGAAGTTTCAAAAAAACAACACTGCACACGTGCGCTGGTGGGCAATTTGGGAATCTGAGCCATTTTTAACAACTATTATATGAATCTAGAACGTAAACCGATCATTCTGTTCATTTAAATTTAAGGAATGTTTGGTTAGATGATTCAAACTATGATTTGAATTATGATTTATGATTTGTTAGTGTTTTCTCTAAAAAAAAAATATACATAAATTAAAAATAAATTTTATTATAATAAAAATTTTTTAAAAATAATCATATTTAATTTTTTTATTACAATACAAAATTCTTAAATAAAATTATATCTCAACATAAATTAAAAACTTAAATTAATAAATTAAACGAGTCCATAATTACTTAAAAAAAAGATAAAATTATACTATTATGAGTACATCTATAAATTTCAGACAAGAAAAAGGAACAGAAATTAGATGGTAAATTTTTATTAATTATTTATATTATATTTTTGCTTGTAATTTGAACCCTTTGATCGTTTTTCTTTTCAATTTGTGATATGGTTTCGTAGTACATCCCGTTCCCCCGTGTATTTCAATATTTTTACCAAAGGGGAAAAAAAAAAAAAAAAGCAAAACCCGAGGCTTCTTTAAATTTAAAAAAATTAAAAAAGAAAAAAAAACAAAGAAAAGAAAGTCGACGCTGGTATCATGACCGGGAGACGGATTCCGCCAGTTTCCCGATACGTTCCACAAGCTCCGGCGAGAGTTTCTTAACTGGTTTCCTCCCCTTTTCCGGTCGGAAATCAAACCCAAAAGCGTCCGAGACCTCTTCGGAGCTCCACCCGGCTTTTCGGAGCGAGTCCGAGAACCGATCCGCTTTCAGAAGCAGAGCGTCGAGAACCGCCTGGTTGTCTAACAAAACCATCTCTCCTTCGAAGAATCCAGAGGCCGATACTTGAACGATTTCGGATATGTCCGATTCGCTCCACCCGCCCCGTCTCAAAACGGATCCTATTTGCTTTACGTACTCGTCCACCCATTTCGGAGCCTCCGATCTAGGCATGTCGAAGAATCTCTCCGGCGAAGACGACGAAGATGATGAAGAATTTCTCCGGCGGCGGTCGACGGCTGCGTCGCTCCAGAACTCCACCCACCGCGGCGTCCTGGCGCCGGTGTCGAGGCTTCTTCGAGAGAAATTTGAGGACGAACCGGCGGATTTCTCGCTCACGGATCTTTGCTTCTTGAGGAGGTGAAGATCGGAATCGGAGTTGCGAAACAGAGACTCGCGATCGAAGAAATCGGATAGATCCAGGCCGCAGCAGAAGATCCGATTCTCGTCGACGAAGAAGATGGGGTTTCCGGCCAGGGAAGGATTGCAAGGGATGTAACAATGGTTGAAGATCGGAATCAGAAGCGGAGCTCTCTTCAGAGCATTTCTCGCGACTTTCAGTGCCTTTTCTGGATCGGACGGTCTCGGACCCCAAGATTTCGACCAGAGAGTGTTCCGCGCAATCTGGAACGAAATCGCGGCGATCGGGAGGTCGAGAGAGGCGCGGAGATGGAGGCGAGCGCCGGGGGAGCGCCAGTCGGGGAAGCCGGCGCCGACGGGGAGGCCGGCAGAGAGGACGGCACGGAGGTCGGGAGGAAAGGCGAAGCCGAACTCGGCCTCGGCGCGGGCGAACTCGGCATCGGAGAGACCCGGCTGGACCTGGACGCCGCAATTTCGGAGATGTGTTGTCACCTTCTCCGCCAAGGAAGAGAACGAGAGGAGGCCGTTTCGCGCGGGAACAGATGACGTGGCGGCCGAGCCGCTTGCTGGCGCCGCGGCGGCTCGGGCCGATAGCCGGCGGAGGCCGGCTACGTGAGCCGGGTTCAGACCGGTCATTCTCCGGTCCACGTCTACCATTGTGACTCAGAAACGAACCGTCTACCCTTTCCCCTCTCTCTCTCTCTTTCTCTCTAAAAACAGTTTGGTGTGAGAGTTAAGTGAAAACTGAAAATGGTGAAGGAGGAGAGAAAAAGTTGGAGTGCGAGAGCGAGTGTGCTTTTTCTGTGCGCAGAGAGAGAGAGACTTTTGTTGTGTAAACAAAGGTTTGGAATTTATAGCTGTTAATGAGTGGGGCCCACTCTGAGATTTTCGGTAATATAATATCATTCTTTCAATTTCACTAAATTGCCCTTCTATTTTCCTGATAATGACTAACTTGATTATATTTCATTAAATTAATCTAACCCCAGTACCCCACTATTTACTGTTCTTTAAAAGAGCTAACGGTTCTTTTCAGTAAATAAAGGGTGGGATTTGGGGAAGTGATTGTGTTGGGAGAGGAGGCTCTCCACTTTTCTTAACGGTATTTTATTTTAGTACCAAAGTAAAAAAGAACGTCTTATTTATTTGTTTTAACAGTGAGTGAATGGAACGTTAAGATTTCTCTAATTGTAATCAATTAGACTTTTGTTTGATGTTAATTCCTTCTTAACTTTTTTTTTGTTATTCTTGGCTCTTGTATGACCATTCTATGGCCCATAAGTAATGATGCATTTTGTTAGACAGCAAAGATAAAGGGGAAGCATACAATCATAAGTCCACATTGTTGTACACTAACTTCAATTAATAAACATTACTTTGTGCTAATTTCTTTAGAAATCAGAAAGATAAAACATTAACAAAGCTGTTTAATTGATAAATCTAATAAGCTAATCATTGGTTATAACTTATAAGCATAAGATTAAGCTAGAAGATGTTCCATTGTTCCTCAAGGTGAGGGCATTCTTTGCTCATTCATTATGTTCCATAGTACACTCCTAATAAATGTGATTTTATCCTCTTTTTTTTTCTTCTTTTTTTTTTTTTTTTTTGTGTGTGTGTTTATTCCCATCCTGGTTGAAAGTTACCACTCAGTTTACAACCCCCCAAAAAAAAAAAAATCGAAGCACTACGTATGAAATAATGCAAATAAATATTGATATATTATATGTGTTTTATTATTGTAGACCACTCATTTAAGAAGAAAAAAAGTACTTAGAGGCTTCACGAGTATTAAGCACCACACTAATAAAAAATGGACTCTATCTGTGAGTCCCGCATGTGGAACTCATCTTTTATTGGTGAGCGGTGCTTAACACTACTAGTGTCTTATAGTATTGTTCATTATATAAGGAAAAAATTGGATTATTTTTTCTTACTACACAAATATAAAGTATTAATTTTGATTTTTTTTTCTTTGCTAAGAGGTGCAAAAATCAATCTTGTTTATATTATTTCAGCTTTTTTCTTTTGGTAAAGTTGTTTATATTTTTTCAAGTTAATTAAAGGAATTATAGCACATGAACCAAGTGTTATTATATAAATATAGTCCTTCAAATGATGAAATGCTATTATATCATTTGAAAGGTGGTCTTTTCTTTTCTTCTTCTTTCGCTTCTTTCTTCACTAGCATTTGAGTCCAATAAAAATTATACTGGATAGACTGAGTTAACCAAATTATTTACTCGATACATACACATATACACACACTATAATCTAATAAAATTTGATGAAAATCATATAGTTCAAAACGACGTCGGCTAGTTTCCTCCCTACCATAAATAGAATTAATAAAACTTACTAGTATCAAAATGTCAGCCATGATACAACCAGTGCCTTTGTGTTGTAAATCCAACAAGAAAAAAAAAAAAAAAAAAAAAAAAAAAAAAAAAAAAAAAGGGAATTTTAACATTTTTTTTTTTTTTTTTAAAAAAAAAAACATAAAACGAAGGGAATTTTCCAAGTTTTTAACAGCCGGCCGATGCCAGCTTTCTATACGTTATGGGCAACTTCCCATGCAGCCATTATTCCCTGTTCCTGTCTTGCTCGGATTAGATTGATTCTGTATACTTTTTTCTTTGATTCTCTCGATTGTTCAAAACCCTTTTAGACACTTTGAAAAACTCCCCAATTTCTCAGGCTCCCATCTGATCATAGTAAAGATTCCACTCCCTTTAATTGATTGTTTTGAGCCTTTCCTAAAAGTATGTGTCTCTTGTAATTTTACTGTCCCTCCAATTATATATCATATTGCAATTCTCGAAATTTTTGTTTTACCATCTTTTAAAGAATAAAGCTTGGTACAATTCCAATTTGGTCAACATCCAATCATGTGGTTCAATTTTGTTTATCGTGATTTGATTTGTTGAATTTAGCCTAATTAGATGTTTTTGTGAATAGTAGAAATCAACACCGAATACGAATAGTGTTCGTTTTTTCATATCCTATAATAGAAATTTTAGATCTTCATTATTTATTGTCAATTTTGAATTGATTAATCCTTTCAAAGGAAATATTTAGCCATCTTCTCAATTGACAAACGTGGGAATAAATGAGATAAAGAGCGAAATTATTAATCTAAACTAAAGATTTTATGTTCAATATCACGTTATATATTATAGTTAATAATTTATCAACACATTTCAAAAGTTTTAGTCATTAATAGATGGATCAACAATAATCTTAATATTTTTAAAGCGCCACTTTTTGAAAAGAGATCAAAAGAATCATACTAGTTTAGAAGGTCATTCATTTTAAAGGAGTTGATTTTTTTTTAATATTTTTTATATTTTAGACTCTGTAAGCCAAATATGTAATAACTTATTAGCAGCAAGGGTATATGTAGAAGTATGAGAAGTTACTTTCTGGGAAAATGTTGTGTGGATGTGATAAGAGTAGGCCTGCCATCCAATGCAATTAAGAGCCGAATTGCATTATTTTGTCAACATGACTTAAAAATTGTGCGTCAAATTGTCAATGAGAACTGTAGAAATCAGTGTAATTTAAGTCCCGTGAACCTAGTTGGGTTTAAAATTTAAGTTTTATTATAGTAAAAAATTCTTAAAAATAATTATATCTAATTTTTTTATTATAATAAAAAATTATCACATAAAATTATATCTCAATTCGAATTAAAAATTCAAATTAACAAATTAAACGAGACCTAAATTTTTTTTTCCTTTCCTTACTTTGCTTTTAAGTAAGGGTTCGTTTGGTAGATAGATTCAGAATCATGATTTTAGATCTTGATTCAGAATCAGTGTTTGTTTACAGTAATTCTAAATCATGATTCAGAATCAGTGTTTAGTTTGTATGATTCTGAATCATGATTCAGAATCTGATGTGATATTTTAAACCAGAATCACTCATGATTCTAAAACCACATCCTCTTGATTCAAGGTGATTTAAACTCCTGATTTTAAATTATGATTCAGAATCATGATTTGAATTCAAAATCATGAATCATGATTCTTATTCTAAAATTATGATTAGAATCATCTTAATTTTAATCTCCGTACCAAACGTGCCTAAGAAACCTATTCAATATTAACGGCTACTTTTTCAGGTTGAGCACGTGGTGGAAGCACTGATATTCCCCAAGAAAATGACCAAAACGAAAAATTTTAAAAATGGTTGGGATTCTGGGGCAGGCTGAGGGAAGTTTATACATAACTTTGGTAAATTGACTTTAGAGAATCTAACATGTGAGATTAGCCTTGAGTTTCGTTCTTTGTTCAAACAAATATTGTAGAGTTTTTTTTTTTTTTTTTCGTATAATAATTTGGTCGGCAAAGATGTAACTGGTCAACGGTTTATTAGCTTAAACAGTTAATTATCTCATTGTTAATTGTACAAGCTAATTTGCCTAAAACCCAGTTAATCCCAATTAGCAAAAATCCACTTGCAACTTCTTAGTTTGGAAGTTACTTCATTGCCACTCATACCAAACCTTATAACAATTCTTTAGTTGTTGTTTGTTGTTGCACCTTTTCTTGAGATTTGCATGGGCCATATCAATATGCAAGGCAAACCTTATTAAGCAAATGTACTATACCCTTTAGAAATAACACTCAAATAAAACAAAAACGAAAGCAAAAACAAAAACAAAAACATAATAATCAAATATTTTCTTTGAAAACAAGGATCTTTGGTGAGAAATGGAGGGAAGTTTTGGCTTAGATTTGTGGGACTTTTAGATGGACCGGTTAGTATGGTCTCTTAACTAGCAACATGAAGTGGAAAGCTTAGATTGGATTTGTAGGGCGTCTAAGGGGTGAATGGACAAAATATCATGGCCAATATATGGACCATATTATATATGTGAGTTAAATTAACAAAAACGTCCATCAAGGGGTCGTCAATGGTTGTGTGAATATGGAACAAAATTGGACCCTTTGCACAAAGTAATTGGAGCTTGTCATTGTCTTTGTACGTGGAAATAGTAAACATTGTGAGGGTCCATGTTGGACAAAAAATTGCCTTGACAATACTTATGTGTGTGGACGTAGTGGGCAACATCTCTCACTTGTCTTCTTCACATCTCAAATTATTCAGTCGATCTATCATTCTTCTTCCTTTGGATTTATGTTTAGATACGTCAAGTTTTCAAGATGTATACAGTTAGTTGTTTCTAAATGAACGCAGCTATAGCAGAAAAGTGTGTGTGTGTGTATATATATATATATATATATATATACTTTTCATATGATAGATATTGATGGGTGGAAAATATTTTATTGAATATAAATGTTGACAAAAATTAATGCATATGTTTACTTCCATTGTCACTTTGCATCCTCTTCGTATAAAAAGAACAAAGCATATCTACAAAATTAATTGTTAATTAATAGCTATAATTCATGGAGGTTAGTGGAAATTGCATGGCAATAATGCCTATTAATCCCGTTGAGGGAATCCAAAAGCAAATGTGTTTCCTTCTTTAACAATAAAACTAATTTTAAATAATAAGAAAGAAAAAGTAAGAACATTGACTTAAGTAGACACACTTAAGATATATAGAACACGAGTTGATTAATATTGTCTATCTCTAATGCTAATGCGAACATTAATACTATATTTAGCATAAAAGAATGTGAAAATTAATGACATATTTATGTGTTATTCTATTTTGCATTACAATGGGTAATGCTATTTCAAATATATCTATTTTTGTCACAATTATTAAGTTTTAGAACTTATGAAAGTGAACCTTCTAATTTTTGATAATATAAAAATGACTATTTGATAATTATTTAATGTAATTAATAGTGTAGCACAATTGTTGGCCAAAGCGTGCCTGTATCTTGGGATCTTTTACAGCTCTCATTTGCCTCTTTGTATTTCGCGTCTTTAGTCCTTTTAATGATAGTGTTTGATTGTTTTTTTTTTCTTTAAGGGTAATTTCAAATATTTCATAATTGGTGTCAAATTTGACACCAAATGTTGTATATGATAAATTTGAGTGTCAAAAAAAGCACTATATAGAGAATGGTTTTTTCCACTCAAATATTAATATTTGACGTTGGTACGTTAATGTAACAAATGTAACGCTCTAACACAACTAGGTTAACCGAAGACCACGTGTATAAAATTTATCTACATGCATTAATTGGTAAATACGGTGATGTCACTATGATGTTAACAATATATAGCATTTTAATATATATATATATATAAGCAAAAAGAGGATTGAGTTTTCATCATAATATTGTAATCCAAGTTGGAGCCTCAAACATAGACTAGGACAAAAGATAGAAGATAGTTTAGTGGTTTGTCGTTAATGATGATAATTGTACAATATCAATCCCATTATTATTAAGATGGGAATGCATGCTTGGAAGAATAAAATCATTTCGTAGGGTAGGATTTAACCTACAAAATAATCCCAATAATTTATAAGCTCGATCAGGTTACAATAATTGTTTAATTACTCCAAGAGAGATACACCATCCCATGTGCTTCACTAACCTCGCAGACATATTTAAAGGTTGGAAACGATTAATAAATAGGTGTCTTTGGCTAAGATTTGTATTGGAAACATGGGTTAGTTAAAGCTTAATACAGGCGGGGAATTTCTTAAAAATATGTTCTCATGTCATTTATATTTCCATCATTGAATATTCAAAGTTTTAAGTCACAAAAGAAAAAAAAAACAAATCAATAACTTAACAAGTCTAAAAAGACATCACAATCAATTCATGGAGGTTCTCTTTTATTAAAAAAAAAAAGAAAAAGAAAAAAGATTTTACTACTAGAAGGATTGTAGTACTTTTCATGAGATTAGTAAGAATAGAGCAAGAAATTGATGCTTTCCCTAGTTCATTTTGTGTATTGTGCAGCATCTTTCGGCCAAAGTGGATTAGATATATCAATAAAATAGTGGCCCCTCGTGTGGGGATCGCAATTTCCTAATATTATTTATGTGTGCAACTTTTTTTTTTTTTTTTTGTCCCTAGACTAGAAATCAAGTAGCTATGCAGGCACGAGTAAAGGTGTGAGAACAAGTAAAAAGCTGAAAATGGGCATCTACTAATTAATTTCATTGAAAAATTAGATTCGTGCGTGTGATAAGGATGGAATAAAGTTGAAAACTTGAGGGTTCTAAATATGGTAGATCTTTTCCATTCATATATATATATATATATATATATATAATATGTAGGTCTTTTTATGCCCTTCTTTTGCCTTTTATGTAGCTTGAGCTTAGAAGATGTCCCGTGTTGCTCACGGGATACAAAAAGAGAAGCAAAAGATTTTAAGGCCCCAGCATGAATAAGGTGTATCCATGGCAACTTGGTTTCCATCCACTTTGCTTCCTTTTTGGTTTTCATTTATAATCTTTTCACAATCCACGTTCATGATCAATTGCTTTCATGATCAGTATCCACGGGGAGGGAAAGAATCTCTTACTAAGTTGAAGTTTTGATTGGAAGGTTGGTGGAAAAGTAGTTTGGACTATCAATATATTAATATATTAGAACAAATGTTTGTGTATAAATACGTAGTAGAATTGTCTTAAATCCGGCACCCGGATCAGTCCAATACATGTACTTTTTCTTTCTTATGCTCGTGTAGTATCATTCGTAAGTATGTGTGACATTCTGTTTGTTTGTCTAATTTTTAATAAATATAGTTAAGTACATATAATATTGAGTGTTACACGGACATATAAAAAAGGTTACGCGTACGAATAAAAGATGTTGCACGTACATATAAAAAAATATATATTTATCACATTGGTCCAGATGCCTGGATTTAAGATTTTGCCTATGTATATTAGGCTGATCAAATCCTATGAAAAAGAAAAAAAGGGAATCAACTGTACCTAAGTTTGCTTCTCCTACAATAAACATGAGTTGACAAGGTTTTCCATTTTTCATTTCTTTTGTGGGTCTGTAAGGCACAAATGAATAATGATTACTCGACACCCGAGTGACGTAGATTAGGTAGGAAAGAAAAAGCCCACTAATGTTCTATAGAATTAGGCAGAGGGTTTACAAATAATGGTGAAACTTCGAGCTGTTCGGTTTTGAGTCTCTCAAGGGCAACTGATGTTTCATATAATAATGAAATTTCAAAGTTGCACAAGTATGAACAAAAATTCAAATTTTTACGAAAAAAACACTAATAAAAAGATTTGAGTTGTGATTCAAACTAATGAACAGTACCCTTAATTTCGAGGTTCTTTAAGGGGATTGGAACTAAAGCGTCATATTCAATACTCTTGTTTTATCTTCACAACTCAGTTCCAAAATTGCTTCCCTCATATCTATCTTGTTTCTTGCGGCACTAGTATTTTAGGTTGGGGTATTGAAGGACAAGATCAAGCGAGTAGACAACACCTCAATGAAATCTCATGCCATTGCAATCATTACTTTTAGCTTATTTATCTTTGGATTCTTAAAACATCTTATCTCCTTTTTGAGTCATCCCACATTACCACTCTCAAGATCAACAAGAACTAGAGAATCGCAGTGAAGTCAATATCCTTTTTCTTTTTTCTTTTTTTTTTTTCTTTTTTTCTTTTTGTTTCTAGAAGAGATAAGATAGTCATCCAGATTTTATCCATGACAACCGACACACAAGTCTCCACTATCTTTAAAAGTGGTTTTGAACCAGATTTTACAAGCAATCTCTAGTATCCTTTCCTTATATTCACTTCTTATAATCAATGAATTTGAATTTGTACACAAATGTCAATCAAATCACCAACAGAGATTGCTAATTTTGGGTTTTGCCGATGCCCATTCATCAGCCAGATATATCCTGGGATCCACACAACACGTTAGCCAAGTTCAGTTCTGAACTTCACAATGACGCACGCTATGGAATAAAACCATAAAGATCAATTATTATTTCAAACGGGTGGTTTTGACTTTAGAATCATTGGACTCTTGTTGGTCCCATATCTCCCATTCAGTCGTGTAAAGCTCAGAATGTATAACCTTTGCCTTACAAAGGGGCCAAAATCCCTAACTTCTTTTTTAATTACATATACAAAGTAGTCGTTCAATACCAAACAGGGCATTCCTGAAGGAAAAGGGAGGGA